TAAAGCTAGAATGGCCTCCCGCGTTCCTCTATTTCTTCTAAACCCAAATTGATCTTCCCCTAATAGTTCTTCCGCCCTTTTTTCCATCCTCCTCTGTACAATTCTAGTTAAGATTTTTGACGCATGGGAAGTTAAGCTAATTGTTCGAAATTTCTCGTACCTATCCACGCCCCTCTTCTTAGGTAATGTTACTACTACGTTCTGTTTATAATCCTCTGGCACTATCCCCGTTTCGTAAATGTGACTAACCAACTTAAACATACGATCTCTAACCTCTTGTTCTACATGTTTTCGAATTTCCCCCTGTATCCCATCTACATCTGGCGCCTTATTATTCTTTAAATTTTTTAATGCTACATCGAAATGCCATTTATTACCATTACTTATTTATTATCAGTGGTAATTAAATGGCATTTTTTTAATGGAAATTTTTCCTGCGGGATTCATACTCCGTGCCTACCATTCCAGGAAGGTAATGAGGCTTATTCACTTAATCACTGTTTTGTGATTTTTTTATTCCTATTCAGCGGTTATATATAAAGTATTCATTTCGAAAACATCAATATAATTTTGAACGTAAATATAAGATCAAGATCGTTTTCAAAATTATTGTTGGTCTTGGCTTCGCATATATGTATATTAAGTGTATTATTTCTTTGAAACATCATATGTACAACTTTAAGTATTATTATCACAATAATACATATTCATAATTATACATATACGAACAACGGCCGACCTTATCAGAATAGTCCCTGATGTTCGATGGAATCATTTTTCCACTGGTCGTCTCATCGAAGGAGGGCAAACAATCCAACACTACGGACATCAAGCACCGATATCGAGCAGTATTTGAACCATTATTTATTCCTCCCTATTTTTGTTCAAGTTCGCGAAGAAGAAGAAGAAGAGGAAGAAGGAGTAAGTGAAGGATACGATGAACTTCGAAGATTATGGATGCAGCCTTCATTCCTAACTTTCGCCACAACTACTTCTGTTGACATCCTTAAATACATCACAGAGGCGACTGCAACTGAAGGAGAATTCTATCAATTTAACGCCGATACGCAGCAAACAATTACAGAAACTCAAATAGAACAGAAGCCAGAAGAACCGTTAGAAAAGCCGGAAGTTGAAACGGAGAAGCCAGAAGATCAAGTTGAACAGCCAGAGGGTCAAGAAGAAAATCAAGAAGGTGAAACAGAAAAACCAGTGGAGCCTGCGGAAGGGCAGCCTGAATAATGTTTGCAATTTTTATGCAGCCATGTTTATTTTTTTTATTTATTTAAATATAAATTAGTTAATTGTGCTTTCAATTTGTAGTAGGTCAACACATACTGATACTTTTTGCTAACTGAAATGTTTCCAATGTTAAACAACGGTAATACTAAGGTATCTACTCTGCTTGTGCAACTGAAGAAAACTTTTAGAAACCTTTGGGGTATTTTATTATCACGCAGCTACTAATGCTGATAGGCAGGCAGTTTCTTATGACTATTTTCGAAAAGGTGGAAAGAAAAATGGAATGTGCAAATTGAAGACAGAAGAAAAGTGAAAGATTGTCATTACTGCCCCTTCATTTGCATGGAAATCATAGAAAACCTTCGATCCTTCCGATCGTGCAAAACTTCTAAATATTTGCAAAAATAACAAGTTTTTAATTTTTTCGAAATTTGCCTAGCCTTACAAGAAAAGTAATTTTGTAGTTTGAAGATTGCCTATCTGTCGCGTATGTCATATAGTACAATAAATCGATTATAAGCAAGCGAAGAACTTTTATAATCTAAACCCAGAACTCAAAACGAGAAGGTGACTACACTTTGAGTTGCAACTACAGATCAACATTTAAAGCTTTAGTTCACATCTGGCAGCTTACTACTCATATGGGGTATCCTAATTCACCTACCTCCACACTTTTTAATACAACTCGTAATTCTTGCCCTACGTGTGAATACCCTACATCCTTTCCGCCTTTTCCTCATGTTATAATGAAATGACTTCTGACTCGTTCCTTATATTCCTACTACTGTATCCCTTTACTCTAAAATTCCTATTAATTACATATATTAGAAGCTTCATCATAAGGTCGTTAGTCCTAAGACTGGTTGGACACGTACCTCCACTCTTTCCTATCCTGAGCTAATGCTCGCATTTCCCTAAAACTAGAACAACCCATCCTTAACTATTTGCGAACAGTAATCTAATCTAGATCTACCTCTACTCCTCCTAACATCCGTTTCTGCCTCTAATATGTCTCTGACTAGACCTTCATACTTGAGAAGGTGTCCTACCAACCTATCTCGCCCATTTCTTATTGACTTACACGGACTCCTCTATTCTCCTATTCTTTCTAATACCTCTTCATTTCTAACATTTTTTATCCACGTTATCTTTCATTCTCCTATAACATACCACATTTCGAACGCTTCTAACCTTTTCTTTTCTGCCGCGCCCACTGTTTTGTTTCGCACCCGTATAACACCGCGCTCCAAACATACACTTTTAACTTTTTTCGAATTTGTAAATTAACCGTCCGCGAGTATAAAACTGACTTCTTTTTATTAAAGGAAACACAACCCTGCGCTGTCCTCTGAATTATATCCCTATTAATTCTTCCGTTCTGACTTATCTGACTACCTAGATATCTAAAATCAGCAACTTCTTCTAATTTTTCGTCTCCTATCCTTATATTTGCTCTTTCCCCACTTTCTATTCCCTTGCATAACAGTATTTTATTTATTTTCATGCACTACTGTTTCATCAGTACCGCTTCCATTTTATTTAAAGTCCTCCTTGCTAGATGCTAATACTGCTAAACATCTGCAAATCTAAGCATACTAATCTTTTGTCCCTGTATATCTATCCCTGCAATTGTACTGTCTTTAATGATGTTGATCGCGTCTTCGATGTATAGACCTGCTCTAATACCGTTTTTACCGGCTTCGAGTTTAATTTAACCATAACTATCCTGTCGCTTTTTTGTAAATTACTTTCTACACTCTTCCCTACTTTCCTACGCATTACAGTTCCTACCCCCGAATTACCTTCCACCAATCCTGTATGTATTATTCTAAAGTCTCCACTGCAGAAGTCTCCAGCTTGGGACCAACGGACTTCACTAATGCCTACTATATCTAATTCCAATCTACTCATCTCTACTTTTAAATTTTCCAATTTTCCTACTTGCCTCATTGTCCTAACATTCCACGCTCCGACTCCGACGTGAAATATTGCACCTAACCCTATTGTACTTATTGATGTATCTCCCGAGGTAGTCCCCGCCCGGACATCCGAATGGGGGACTAGTTTACGTTCAGAGTGCTTTACCCCAGAGGACGCCATCATTTAATTTGTGTAGTACGTTGTACTCGGGATCATAATGTGGTGGTTTCCCGTTGCTTTCCACATTATCAATTACCTACTTCAAACTTTTGTTCTACTTCTATACACATATTATCTATCCATCACGGATTAGTAACCTTACATTTCCTAATGATTTCCCACTTTATCCCTTATAATTTTCTTCCCCTTCCTTTATACACTCTGCTCTTACATATATTTCGTCATTCTTCTATTAATGCTACACTCTCGTTTGTAACCCACCAAAGCTGCCTAATCTCATTTTCTTTAAAATACAATATTCCGTTAACTTCAGTATTTGCATACAATTTAATCAAGCTCCATTCCATCTCTACGCCCCTGTCATTAGTTTCTCCCACCTTCTCCAGTATCTCATCTATTTTGCTACCTGACCTACCACGAGTATCATTTTTTCCAATCCCAAATAAAAAAAATTACAAAAACCTTTCAAATTAGTAATTTTTAGAGTTTCGTACCTCAAAAGGAAAAGAGGAACCCTTATGGGATCAGTTCGTTATCAGTCTTTTTGCCTGTCTGTCTGTTAAGACTAGGGTTGCCACCTTTTCAGGCTTTACAAAAAGTATTGCTCGACTAAAAGGTTAAAAAAAAAGTTATCAGCATAAAAATAAAGTTTTTTTTTTCTAAAAATATNTTTCCCGTACCCTACTTTCTAGTATTTCTGAATAGAGTGGCAAACCTTATAAATAATCAAGGTCGTTTCTTTTTTTTTTTTCTCTTTTTTCTTATATAACTTCTTAATGATTTAATCGAAGAAAGTTAAATAAGAACGTTGTTCAGAATCACTCCTTCGATTAAGGTAGATTCAATGACACTACTTTGAGCAGATTTGGGAAATCAGGTTGTTCCGTAAATGTGGCTTGCCATTTTTCTGTGCAATATTATCGATGTAAAAATACTCTGAATTTCGAATAATCGCTTACAAAATTACGATGTTTACTTAAGGCCTTAAATAAAGTATTTTTGCGTACTTTATGTGTCGTGTAAAGTATAACGTACGCACAGTTGAAATAGAATACAATACTTTATAATAAAGTACGGGTGGCAACCCTAGTTAAGACCCTTTTTCTCAGGAACGCGTGGATGTATTAAGTTGAAATTAAAATATCAAATACTCGGGTCTGCAGTCCCTTGCAAAATTTAAAAAGTCAAGCTTCTAAACCAAAAGATACGCTATTAGGTACTTCCCGTTGACCTTGAATTATGAAATTTCTTTTTTTATGGCATCAGTAAAAGGAAAAATCCAAAAATTTGTAATTATACGTTCTGGGGTGATCAGAAGATATAAACATCACTCTTGTTATACAAGTCCAGACAACTTTTCCGTGGTATGACAAATAGAAAACATAATTTTGAAGTTTTTCGCGTCGGTTACATTTCTTCTATGTTGTTTTTTTCAAAATCAAGTAGGTGCATTACTATATGCAGGCATCTATAAGTACGTAATATCGGGTTGTTTTTTCACTGTTATGACAATGTAACAGATATAGCATTAAGAAGATATATGTTGATTATTTTCTTAACGCAAGTTTTAAATACTAATAAATAGCAAACTGATTGTCTGTTGTAGTGTAAGCCACAAATATTCGATAACAGAATGGCGACAATTACGTGGACAACTTTTGCGCATTATGTTCCAGTCTTTTCGCGAGTGAGATTATTAAATTTAATACACAATTTTACACAGCATAAATAAAAATCCCGAGACGCCGTTCTGCGGTCAGAAAACAATATATTTTATTGTAATCGTAACAGTTTTATGACGCTTTAGTGTTACGACGTGAAGACAGGAACATAAAAATCTCAAATGGGCGAAGTTCGCGTCATACATCATTCCGCCATGCAGTTTAAACGAAGAATTATTATTTGAAAACTGCACCGTATGAGTATTAATAAAAATGCCTAGAATGAGTTTTGCAAGTCACAGTGATGTAAAATGTTCTGAATTGTTAATATCGTTTTAAATAAAATTATCGTTTAGTTGACCTTAGTTTATGTAAAGTTCATTTTTTGAAAATTTAATACAAATTAGTAAAAAAGTAATTTTTGCAATTTCTGCAATAACTAAATGACAAAATTAATCGTACGGCTGCTTAAATTTCCAAACATTGACTTTCAGCTGAATAATTATTAAATTGAACATTAAAAAAAGTAATAATATAATCTTTGTTGATGTGACTTAATTCAATCAATGAATGGAGATCATTTGACGATCATTAAAAGCAGACAGTAATAAGATAATTGTGAAAAAAAGTATCTACCGTGCCTTAACATGTGACTGAGAAAGCCTCAGTTAAGTACAAGTAAATAACCTGCCAAATATAGATACGATTATACAGTCAGAACGATCAAAATTTTCATAGTACGCAATAAATTATCTGTGGGAATGGACGTATCTTCTGTCTTGTTTCCACTTAGGACTGTAGGCATTTGCTGTGTTTTGAACACGCGCTTGTTAAGTTAGGAAATGCTTCATAAGTTGTACAGATAAAGTAAAAAGAGATAAACGAATAATAGCAATCGGTGCAGCGGTTAGAAGTTGCTTAGGTACGCAAAAGATCAGGGTCGGCTTTATAACTTCCTCGTTGGAATAATATCTTTAAGCCTCTTTGCTTTCCTAAATTCCTGAGAATGTTGAACTTTCTTTAAAGTCCGATTCTGCTTGTCTGTATCTGTTTCTGTTGCACATCAATGGTGTAATGTTATTCCTTTTTCTTTATTACTGTCCGCTGCAATTCCTACTGTCATCTCTTTTCTATGTTTACGATATTCCCTACAACGTCTTTCGTGAGTAAAAGTAAGCGTTCTGTCAGCAACCACAAAGCAATGAGAGCTTACATACTGTTATAATAAGCCTAAATAGGTACCTAAAACATGCACCTGATGGATCACCTTAATGTCCAAATCCAAAAAGCTGATTATTTAGATAAAGGTC